CTATTAATATCATGCTTACACTAATCATATTGTCATTTGACCGCAAATTCAGTTAGTTTGTTATGAACATGACTGAATGCCTCTCTTGTTCCATGAACAAATATCTGCTTTATAGCAAAACAGACTTGTCTAACTTACGTAACAAAGTAAAGAAAAACATGCTTGTCGTTTTGTATTAGTTGAGCATGATATAAAATGAAAGCAAGACAATAAACAAAGCCTGCAAACAGAATTTAAAGATTTCTTTCTTACAAAGTTTCTTACAAAACAATCATTTATTGTGTCTGTTTGTCCAAACTAAGCATTAGATGCTGCTATTACTAAATTAGGTATTTTCATTTAGCAGACCATATATATATATATATAAAATGTTCTTTTTTTACTCTGCGATTTACTCTGTACAGTCCATTTATGAGAATATACATATCTATCAACGCATGCCATAGCTCTTAGTTTTCCTGGAAGGTTTTGGGAAGTTCTTGTGTTATGTTGGACGCATCTCAACTTCAGCAGATGACCAAGACATAAATCAGACAATAACAACAACCCAAACATGATCATGATTAAATAATGAGCAGTGGTGGTTTCTTTCTAGACCCCGAAATGCTGTCTGGACACACAATGGAGGCTGTGTGAAAATGTCATGCGTACGTTTATGAATGTTTGCTTTTTCTTACAATCCGTCATGTGCTGAGCGTCTCAGCTTGAGGTCAATAATAGCAAGAATAAACTAGATATTAGAGCAGAATCGTTAAGAATGAGTTATTGTATTATTTCTTTCAATCAACTTTTATTATTTATTTATAATTTTTTATAAATGTTTTATTTATTCATTAGTTTCTTTGTTTCACTGTTCTCCGTAGACTTTTCCAGGATGAAGAGTCACCCGCGTGGACAAAGACAGCCCCGACATCCACCAGGAGCTGAACAAACTGAAGACGAAGATCCAGGAGGCTCAGAGAGCAGGTCCGGACCAAGAACCAGCTTCTGCAGAAATACAAGAGCCTGTGCGTGTTTGACATCCACAAACCATTCAAAAACCAACACAGCTTCAGCTTGTCCATGCTGGTGTGTGTAACTAACTGACCCACCGCTGGAGGCGACACCGATTCACTGATGCGACTCTTATATTTGTACTATTACTCTATTTTTTATTATTTGTATATATATATATATATATCGTTTTTACTCTTGGAATAGCATTTGAAAGATTGTGTGCTTGTTATTAGCGACTGGATTCTGTATACTTCACCTTTGTCATAGTTGTGCATTAAATTAAATCACTTCTTTAATACAGGTTTTTACTTGCATTTCAGTGTAAAATCATATTTAATGTGCTTGGGTGACCTGAACTATATTAGGGTCTTACTGAAGCCATAATAAACTAGTCAAATAACAATCAAGTCAACAAAACACCGTTCTGAAGCACCCTATGAGGTATTTTCAGGTTATTCTGTAGTTTTAAAGGCTATATCTAGGATATTTAGATGCAGATTTTAATGTGCTCATTATGGGGATTTATTTCAATCCATAAGATTACTAATTACTAGCCCTGTTTTTTTTGCATCAAGTGTGTGCACACAACAATAGACAATAGTTTGAGCATCCAAGAAGGTATTTTCAGATTACTGTGGTTTTCAAGCATATATCTGGAATATTTCTACTCAAGATGAGCTTTAGCTGCGTTAAATGAAGTTGCATGAAACCATATTTGTTGATGTGTTCAGAGAAAATACTGTGGCTTACATCATTCCAAGCATACATTAGTCAATTACATTTTTTCTGTGCCCAATAACAGACAATAGTCTGAGAATCCTAGAAGGTATTTTCATATTATTGGGCAGTTTATAGGTTGTATCTGGAATATTTAAGATGAGATTTAGCAGCAAGCTTTCACAATATTGAGGCCTTATTCCAAGCCATAATAGATTACTCCGTTTTCTTGGAGTCAAGTGTTTATTGACCCAACATACAAATGACAATCCTAGAAGATATTTCCACATACATATATTTGGAATATTTATACACAAGATGAGCTTTATCTGCAAGTTTGGATGAAATCAATTTTTGTAATATTTTGTTAATGTTTAGAAACAATATTCAGGTCTCATTCCAAGCCGCAGCAGATGAATGACAAGCTGTTTTTGCTTGGCGCCAAGTGTGTGCACAACAGACGACAATAGTTTGAGCTTCCCAGAAGGTATTTTGATATTATTCTGCAGTTTTCAGAAAAGATTAGCTTTAGCTGCATGCTTGGATGAACGTGTTCAGAGACAATACTTCCTCATTCCAAGCTATAATTGATGAGTGACGGCCAGTTTTTACTTTGCTGTCAATGAAAGACAATAGTTTGAGAATTCTGTAAGGTATTTTCTGATCATTCTGCAGTTTTAAGGAATATACCTGGAATGTTTATACTCGATGGGCTTTATCTGCAAACTTTCAGATAGATCATGAAAGCATTTTTAATGTGCTCAGAGAACAGATCAATTACCAGCTGTGTTTTATTGGTATCAAGTGTGTACAATGAGAGTAGTTTGAGCCTCCTTATATCTGAAACAAGCTTTCAGATAATATGAAACCATATTTTTTATTTTTTTTATTTGCTCACGCCTCATTCCAAGCCATAACAGATCAAGGATGCGTCAGGTGTGCACACATACAAACCACAATAGTTTGAGCATCCTAGTCATTCTGCAGTTTTAAAGCTTATGTATTTGGCTGCGTTAGATGTGTGGGAAAATAAAGAAATGTCTTCCAATTCGCTGAAAAGTAACGAGGAAACGTGCGCATTCTTGAAAAATGATTTTATTTCTGTTTTCCATGTGTCAAATTCAACATCGACATAGAAGAATAAATATACATTCATTGACAGTAAAAAAATTGTTCACATTGCAATAAAACATTCAAGTGGATTTCACTGTGATCGAATCTAACCGAAAAATGTAAACAGCTGACATTGCAACCCAACTCCCCGTTCTCCCCTCAGCACTCGACAAGGCAAATGTTCTAAGAAAGCACATTTGAAGCATGGAGTTGATAAGCCACATCACAGAGCGCTCGGACTGAGCTGAACAGAGTCGGTATTCTGTCCAGGAGATCTCGAGAGCATTACACGTCGCGAGGTGAGCGCTCAAGCCGATGACTTCTACCGCCGGTGCGAACGCGATCGATCCGGAGTCACCGCAACAGGCACAACTCCCTCAGCCAAGAGACTGCAGCGAGACGGCTGCATCCCATAAGAATGACCGCAGCAGCGCTGGAAGCGCCTCGGGTTTAGCTGATAACGCATCTCTCTTTGTCCTTCGCCTGTGCGCCTCCTATCGCCTTCTCTTTGATGTACATCAAGTCACTATGCACGCTCGGACGGCGCGCAAAAGGCGCAACGACGCCGTACGCGTCGCCGTCCTTGATCTTCTTGTTTCGGAGGGACTTCTTGTGCAGAATGTCGCAGTACTGCACGGACACCTTGCGATGGAGGTCCGGGCTCATCTCGTTGGGCAGTTTGGCGAGGGTAAAGAGTCTCTGGAACATCTGATCCACGTTAGTGTTCTTCTTGGCGGAGATCTCGAAGTAGGCGCACTGCTCGTCGCCGGCGATCAGCTGCTCGATCTCCTCGCGCTGAACCTCACGGTAAAACTCGCGATCGCCCTTGTTCCCGCAGATGACCAACGGGACGTCCACGTTCTCTTTGGTCTTGTTTTTAAGGCAGGACTTGGTCTCGTAGATCTGCTGCTTGAGCCGCTGGACCTCATGAAACGACTCGCGGTTGTCCAGACTGAACACCAGGATGAAAACATCACCTGTGGCCAAAAGAATAAAGGGAGAGGTTAGAGATGCAGTCTACTGCTTAGTCAAAACTGCTCTGATATTTCAGCTTGATTTCATGAAAGTGCGTATTTTCTAACGCGGGCTCGGTATTTACCTGTGAGAATGGATAGCCTCCTCATAGCTGGGAACGGATGGTTCCCTGAAGTATCCAAAATGTCCAGCTGATACACATCTCCTTTAATGTTGTAGAGTTTCCTGTGGAAGTCCTCTATGGTCGGCGTGTACTGCTCCTCGAAGCGTCCGTTCAAGAAGCGAGACACTATCGCCGTCTTGCCAACTTTGGTGGATCCGAGAATGACCATCCTGTAGCAGTTTTTCGCCGGGATGTCAAACTCGTTCTCCGAGGGACTCATTTTCTTAATCATGTTTCTGTGTGTGAGCGGGTCTGGTGAAGAATAGCTGGTTGGTTCTTAGCGCGCTGGGGCTCTCTGAAGCGTTGAGCGGCTAGGAGCGGCTATTTAAACGCGCCTGCGCTCCTCCTCCGAGCGCGTCAGGTGTGGAGAGACTGACGCGTCGGCTCGTGTGGATGAGCGCTTTTGGGTGCAGCTAATACCAGGAAAGCGTACTAAGAGGAACAGCACTTTCACGTCGTGTGTCGAATCCCCTACTGTACATTATTTGTAAAAACATAATGTCATTCTTCTGCAAAACGCGCTTTAAGCATGTTTGCGCGGTTACACATAATCGTTGATTAGTTCAAAGAATTGCATATTTCTTTTTTATTGCTCGGTTATGTATACATTGGAGTGTTTATAATAATATTTGTGACCCTGGAGCACAAAACCAGTCATAATGGTCGATTTTGTTTTTTAAATTGAGATTTATGCATCATCTGAAAGCTGAATAAATAAGCTTCCACTGATGTATGGTTTGTTAGGATAGCACAATATTTGGCTGAGATAAAAGTATTTGAAAATCTGGAATCTGAGGGTGCAAAAAAAATAAAAAATCTAAACATTGAGAAAATCATCTTTAAAGTTGTCCAACTGAAGTTTAAAGCAATGCATATTACTAATAAAAAAATAAGTTTTGATATATTTACTGTAGGACATTTACAAAATATCTTCATGGAACATGATCTTTACTTAATATCCTAATGATTTTTTGCATAAAAGAAAAATCTATAATTGTGACCCATACAGTGTATTATTGGCTATTGCTACAAATATCCCCCAGCGACTTACACTGCTTTTGTGCTGCAGGGTCACATGTTTTAGTCATTTAGGTCACGTCAGTATACTCGGATGTAGTAGGCTTTTAGTGTTTGTATGCGTAACACACCGTAGCTGTCTTTGTGTTTTTATTGACCACATTACCGGGGAAGCCTATCTTTTGGGAATTTATTTTTCTTCCATCGTACCAGTTATTTATCACTACATTTCACAGTGACAGCTGAGATTTAATAGCTCAGATAGGTTGTTTATTAACATTAGGCCTGTATATTAATTCATCGAAAGATAGGAATACTTGTAACAAAACTGTTTTTGCAGTACAGTTCTGGTAGCTGTTTGTTAACATTAAATGCAACAGTCTGTCCTAAACAGCATTAATTAATGTATGCGTTAATAATGTAGGCTACGCAGTTCTGGTTTGTTAATCACACTCTAAAAAATGCTGGGTTAAATACAACCCAGTGCTGGGTAAAATAGGGGTAAACCCAGCAATTGGGTTGTTTTGACCCAGCGGTTGGGTTACTACCCAGAAGATTGGGTTAAACATTTAACCCAACCGCTGGGTCAAAACAACCCAATTGCTGGGTTTGCCCCTATTGTACCCAGCACTGGGTTGTATTTAACCCAGCATTTTTTAGAGTGTATGGTTCAGTGGTTCTGCTGCAGTCTCTCTATAGAAGAGTTAATCACAGTGATGTGCTCTAGAAGGCTTCATTCTGATTGGCTGACAGACGTTCTGATGCGTTAATTAAAGTTCCAGATTGTGACAGCATTATAGTTCCACATATCAGCCGAACAGCTGTTTCAAAGAGCCTTAAAGGGAGAGTTCACCCCAAAATGGAGGTGTGTGCTGTTTCCAAGATGCTGAATCAGTGAGGTAAGAGAGTGCTAACTCACAAACAGGAAAGCGGTATGAGGGGAATTTTTGACTCAGAACCGTAATTATAGAAAATGAATGCAGGTGAAAAGCAAAGAAAACGAATGCAGGAGCTGTGCAAATCAGACCCTCACACACACATTCTGAGTGACAGGGACCTTTACAACCAGAGAGAACTTTGACTGTATTTCTACACTCTAAAAAATGCTGGGTTGTTTCAACCCAACTTTGGGTCAAATATGGACTAACCGAACTTTTGGGTTAAAAATGTAATGTAAAAATTTAACCCACCAGCTGGGTTAGTCCATATTTGACCCAAAGTTGGGTTGAAACAACCCAGCATTTTTAGAGCGTACAGCTTGACATTCAAACGATGTGTCCAAAAGGCCATGGAGAGGCACAGCTCATCTCCGCCAGCATCACAAGCATTTCTCATTCCCATCAGAGAGGCTTTAGGTATGCCGTCTTTCAGATTCATGCATGAATGATGAGTTCAAGACCTTTCTGTAGATTGCATGAGCTTTTTCAAGAGCCAGACCATTATCTGAACCCATCTTAACAGGATCATTCACTCAAGAATGAAAATTGCAACCATTTACTCGCGCATATGTCGTCCAAACCAGTTCAGTGGCTTCTTTTCCTTCCATTAAACACAAAAGTATAACTATATATATATATATACAATAAACCGAGCAGCAAATCAGCATATTAGAAAGATTTCTGAAGATCATGTGACACACTGAAGACTGGAGTAATGATGATGAAAATACAGCTTTGGTCACAGAAATCAATTCAATTCCATAATGTATTCACATAGAAAATTTTTATTTTAAATTGTAATAATATTTCACATTTTTACTGTAATTTTGGTGAGCAGAAGAATATGTACTGTATATATAACAATAAATAAACAAAATAAGCCTGTAAAATAAATAGTATATGTCTAACACGCTTCATCTTGGAAGTCAACCTAAAACTGTACTTGATGCACATTATTTCTGAGTACTGTTATATAAGAAAAATCAAATCATACTCCATACACATTGTTGTAATAGACATAAATAGGTCAAGTGTTTGAGCGTTACTGCTCTTAGCAAATACATTGCAGTTGAGTTTTAAATGGCTCCTTCCAGGAATTTGAGTTGTTAAGTGCTCTTAAGGTCTGAACAAGGCTAATGACTAATTAAATGAGTACGAGCCCTGCAATTAAACCCACAGTCCTGCATAATCAAACCTTCATCCCTGACATTTATAATGACCCTGAGAGGTGTATGCATGTCAGCTGTCAGGTTATTCAATCCATAAGAGTTTATTAGAGGAGAGAGAGGAAAAGAAAGAGTGCAAGGAAGTCTCAAAGACAAGGATGATAGAGACGACAGAATACGGCAGATATAAACGATCCCGTTTTTTGTAACACATACAAATCTTTGATTAAAATGTATTATAAAAAGTGTTATATAAATGAAAAATGGAAAAATGGTGCTTGCAGTGCAATTCAAATCTTAAAATGATATTTTTAAAGAAATATATAAGTGCACTTAAAGCGAGACACTTTCATGACTATATTTAGTGCTATATTATATTCATCACTTTACTATATAAAGTGCACTTTGTAACAACACCAAATTAAAAGTTTTACTTAACGTTTTAAAATGTTTTTGTCATGCCTTAAATTATTACATTTATATATATGACATAAAAGTTGCCATAAGACAATGCAACAGATAGAACATGGTTTTCACTTGCAGTGTCCGGTCATTTGAACTCATTTGAACACAACTCGGGTAAAATATGATTGTTTTGCAATACTGAATCCACACACTCTTCTGAGCTGAATGAGGACGCCTCAGAGGTCAAATATTATCAGTACACAAACTAAACAGAACTGGAACAGAGGAAGAGAAAAAGTGATTACGGCATAAATTAAAGACGAAACGAAGCAGAAGACTGATGCATTTCTACTCCTCAGTCCCAGTCAAGACAACACCGAGCTCCGGCAGGGAACCCCACAATAACAACAGTAAATATTATTACATAGGAATGGATGTATTTTGGTTAGATACTGATCTCTTTTTCCATTTTATATAACAAGAAATGAATAAAACGAATTATTGGCACAGTGTGCAAATCAATGGAGTGATTACTTTGTTTTGAAAACAGTCTGTTCTGGAGGTCGTATTATGTAACGTCTGCATGTGTAATATATATTCTTCAAGAGATTGTCAAGCAGAGATAGGATGTCCGAGCCGCTGCCCAGGGTTCAGGATTGATTGTGTTATCACGCTGACGACATCAAATATCAGACGCTCATGGGATCCTTTACGGATGCAGCTGAATCCAAAATCATTGAGAGACTGTTCTTAACAGTGGACTGTTTGCCGGGTCAAGGGGTCAAGATTTGAGCGGATAACATGGGCTGTTAATGCTTTAAAGGAATCGGTCACCCAAAAATGAAAATGTGCTGACACTGTCCTCACCTTCAGGTCATCTGAGATGTAAAAGAGTTTGTTTCTTCATCAGATTTGGAGAAATGTAGCATTGCATCACTTGCTCACTGCAAGTGAATGGGTGCCGTCAGAATGAGAGTCCAAACAGCTGATAATAATCCACAAGCAATCCACAGCACCCCAGTCCACCAGTTAACATCTGGAGAAGCTGAACTGAAACAAATCCATCATTAAGATGTTTTTAACTAAAATCCATAATCCATAATAATTCTTCCTCCAGTGAAAAAGTGCATCTCCTGTTGTGTTTCACATCAAAATCCAGCCACATATTAGTTTAAACGGTGCTTGATCTGTGCAGATTTCTCTCCTGATTCAGACAACTTTTTCACTGGAGGAAGCGTTATGGATTATGGACTCGTATTTTAGTTCAAAATATCTTAATGATGGATTTGTTTCTTACAAACATGCAGCTTTTGTCTTCTCAAGACATTAACTGCTGGACTGGAGTGCTGTGGATTACTTATGGATTATTGTGATGTTTTTATCAGCTGTTTGGACTCTCATTCTGACGTTTAATGTGCATTTGGGAATGTTATTATAAAATATAATATTATATATTTTTTTATTTTATAGTACAATTGTTTTAATAAATAGTAAAACAGTAATGCATTGGTACTCTTTTTAAAATTTGAGTTATTATAATCATAATAAAATGAAAGACACTATTTAATTGCATGTCATTTGACCATTAACCAATATCAGAGAGCCATAAAGATGCAAATGCGTTGTTGAATATTAGCTTAATTTCTCAGGGGGACTTCAAGGAAATATATGGCGTCTAAGGGGTTCAGCTGACAAAAATGTTTGGGAATCCCTGATCTGTACCATTAGAGTAGGAAGAAAAGGAAGAAGAGTGTGTACATAGTGAAAGAACTGGATGTGTCCATTTATTTTACCTTTGGAAAGAAAAACATGCAAAAGCAAAGTACGCTCACATGAATCAAATGGACCCTAAAACAGCTGATTTCAGCCTAGACGTGCATTAGGAATGGATCGAGGAAATAAAAACAATCACATCTTTTATGGTTATGATATATGAGCAAACTACAGATTACCAATACTGGATATTGGATTGCTACAGCTGAAGATTGTCATTGCATTCACAGTTTGCATTCAATATTGCGGTAAAAGTGTTAAACATCAATGTGCAATTTGCAGCTGTGCTCTTTAACTCTCTTTATACCGTCAGTATATTATACAGATTAATCAGACATAGTAGTTTAAATGCTGCAGGCGTTTACATCTGAAATCATCTCCATCCACAGTTTCCCATCCCAGAGGATCAGGAATCTGAGCGGCTTTACTTGTGCTTGCAGCGCTGGCTCCTCCGCCGGTAGATCTCCTCAGTGAACGGTCTGCAAACATGAGAAGGTGAGCGCAAACACAGATTGTAAATCTCAAGAGCTGTGCGGTGTACCAGCCTGAGCCTGGCACCCGCGGGAGAGAGAGAGAGGGAGAGGGAGAGAGGGAGAGAGAGGGAGAGAGAGGGAGAGGGAGAGGGAGAGACAGAGGGAGAGGGAGAGGGAGAGGGAGAGGGAGAGAGAGAGACAAGACAAACTGAAGCAATATCATTTCTCACATGTACTGTTGTGCAAAGTTGTTTTTTAACAATGTCTTTAATATTTTTCTTGTTTGTGGGAGAGAGAGAGAGATAGAGAGATAGAGACACACACAGAGAGACAGAGAGATTATTATTATTTTGTATCTTTTTGTTCATGTATACTAAGCTTTGGCAATATTGTATCATTTACAGTCATGCCAATAAAGCAATTTTTGAATTGAATTGAATTGACAGAGAGAGAGAGAGAGAGAGAGAGAGAGAGAGAGAGAGAGAGAGAGAGAGAGAGAGAGAGAGAGAGAGAGAGAGAGAGAGAGAGAGAGAGAGAGAGAGAGAGAGAGAGAGAGAGAGAGAGAGACAGAGAAGCTTTATTGTCTATTCATTATATATGGGGTTTGTAATTCTTGCAACCCTGTTAATTTGGGACAGAATAGTCTAAATACAACTGCAAATATTAACTCAGAAATTCAAAACTAAACATTATTTAAAAAAAATTACATAAAATCGAAAGTGATGTGGAACGGTCTAAATGAGGCTACTACTAACAAATTAAAATGTAATATTAAAATGTTCCATTTACATTAAATTATTTAAAAATAAAATAAATAAAAAACTTTATTATCCAGTACAATCCAATATCCAGTAAACTTTCAAATTTCAAAATTAAACACATTATTTAAAAATAAAATAAATACAAACTTAAAAAATCTAAAGTAAACATTATTTAAAAGCAAAATAAAATTAAATAAAAAGTGACGTACAAAGGTTCAAATGAGGTTATCCTACCCTGGGTGTCACAATTTTAACAATTAACAAACATTAACTCTACAATTAGAGACATTGCTTAAAAACAAAGCAAAATCAAATACAAACAAACAAATAAATAAATAAATTAAATTAACTAATTGTCAGCGAAACCTTCAGGAAATGTTAGGAAAACATTTTTTGAGCAGTTTTATTGACTATATTGTTATAAATGAGGTTTACAAGTTTTGCAATCCTGTTAGAGGACCAAAATTGTGTCTTAATACAATTTTAGACATTGCCAACATTGACTTAAAATCCAATATTAAACACAATATTTAAAGAATAAAATAAAACAAATAAAAAACTTAATGCAAAATTAATCATTACTTAAAAACAAAATAAATTAAATTAAAAATGAAATCAAAACAAGTTCATATATATATATATATATACACATTATTATTTTTTATTTCAAGTGACATAAGGTGGTTTAGAGCGATGTTTCTGTGCTGTCATTATCGGTCGGCACGCTCAGCTCAGACTGCTAATAAGCGGTTGTTGTTTTTGTTTTAGAGCTATTAAAGTGCAGTTCTCTGACCGTCTCGGTCACCATAGAGACTTGACGGTGTATGCGTGAGTTTGAGTCCCATATTTATTCCTGTCTCTATGGAGGAACGTTGGCAGCTTTTCTGCTGGACCTTTTATTGCCGCAGCAGAGGACTGACCTTTACTTGCATCCCTTTTAGCGCGTCTCAGACGGTCGCTTGTGTCTCAGGAGTACAAAAGAAAGAAGAACATGGGTGTGCATCGAAACCATGCTTTTCATGTCGTTTTGTTTCAATAGCACCGTTTTAACTTTTCACAACTGAAATCCCATAAACTCCTAGATATACTTTTATGAAAATTTAATGTATTATTTACTATGGTTAATTGATTTAACCAATATAAGATATTTTACATCAAGAAGTAAGGAGACCAAATTATTATATAATATATTATTTCATAACTATTTATAATTTTTCTATATTTTTTAAAATCGTTGAAATAATCTATAGCTTTAAACAAAAAACATACCCATAAAACATTTACTGAAAATAAGCTGCATACATGTCTGACAGAATGTAATTCAGGCTTTGCAAAGACACGAAAAGAAAAGAGATAATGTACAATTTAAACTCTTAAATAAAATAAAAAAACAATTGATTGAATCTAAGCTATAATTAAATAGGAAACAGAAACAGAAAAGTTGTTAATTGTTGCTATTATTATTATTGTTAATAGTTTTTTAAAGGGATCATTTTTATTTATAAATTTATATTTATTGATTTAATTTATATATTTTTAATTTATAATTATTTTTATTTTTTCTTGATCTTTTTTTTATTAATTTTTTTTTAGAACTTTAGCTTTCAAAAAAAAAAAGAAAGAAAAAAAAAATTTATACCCATTAAAAACAACCATAATAATAAACAAGAATATTGTAAAATTAAGATGCATAATTTTTGCATGGTTCTTGATCGTTTAAGTGTGATGCAGACTGGTTGAGTTTTTTTTTTGAAGAAGTCATTCAAAAGAATTACTAAAGAATTGACAAAAAATTGTATAAAAATATAATAGAAATATACATCATAAAAATATTAGAGAATAAGGAAAGGAAAATCCACCTATTTCATAATCAGTCATGACACAGTATATGGATTATGACTGAAACCTGACACAGATAACACACTTACCCTTCATATGCAATCGCTACTTTATAGGACAAGCCGACCACTGCGGTCAGGATCACTCCGACAGGACTGGCGTTCCTAAGAGACAAACACAGAACATCTTTTATTCCTATCCATATTCCGAATGTTGTTCAGATTTATGCTCTGGAAATGTATGCAAATCAGTGCATATTTTATTAGATAATGCCACATTACTTGCAATACAAACAAGTTTCGTACGAAACAGCAGTCTAACTATTTTAAGAAACTTAGCAATGGTAAAGGTAATGTGCCTTTAAATGAGTATTAAGTTGCTTTGTCATGCCCACACACACACACACACACACACGCATGCGTGTATACACACACACACACACACACACACACATGTATACACGTACACACACACACACACGTACACACACGTACACACACGTACACGTACACACACGTGTACACACACACACACACACACACACACACACACGTTCAGATTTGACTCACAGGCATGTAAATAACCCAATCGACAAATTCAAACAAATAATGATTCACACACATGACACCGTATCAAAGTTTATCCAACTTACTGTTTACAATCAAGTTTTAAAAGCACTGACTGTATCTGAATATGCAAGTAATAAAATGGCCGGTTACTGAAGCGTATTTGTGTCTCAGTCTCACCCCTGACCTGATTCTACTACTGTTGAGCATAAAATACAATCAATTACTGCTCATATTGCTGAATTCTCCTCCCTTCTGTTCACCAAAACACCTTTTGATAAAAAACATAATTGAAAACCATTTGTACGTCAGCGCAGTAACTGCAGTCATGATGTAACACGACCACAAACACCTGACAGAAAGGCTTTTTGGGCAAGAAAGATGCAAAGGAAGCAAGTCAAAGTCATTTTAGATGTAATTATCTGCACCTTACGGTAATAAGCAAATAACATGAGAAATATTCAATACAAGAGATAAGAATTACTGTAATTATGAATACGCAATTTGCAGAAAACTTACAGTAGAGGTAAAGGAAAAACAAAGCACTGCAGGGTTTGAACCACAACCTTTTGAATAACAGTCCAGACATTTTCAAGTTTAAATATAGTAAATATAATTTAATTTTAATTTTCAATTTAATAATTTGGAAGGTCATAAAAATGCTTCAAAGGTTTTTACATTTTTTTTTATGTTTTATTTATTTATGCATTTATTTTATTAATATTAATTTATTAATGTGATGTATTTATTTTTTAATTGAAAAAAAATAAAATAAAAACTATATATATATATATACACACACTATAAACAGAAAATTCTAAATCTAAATTTCTAAATCTAATTTCAAACTACTGTTTTCTCTGTGAATATATTGAATTGATATAGAAATCATACTAATTTGCTTCTCAAGAAACATTTCTGATTATCATCAATGTTGAAAACAGTTGTGCTTCTGAATCTCCTCCCTTCTGTTCACCAAAACACCTTTTGATAAAAAACATAATTGAAAACCATTTGTACGTCAGCGCAGTAACTGCAGTCATGATGTAACACGACCACAAACACCTGACAGAAAGGCTTTTTGGGCAAGAAAGATGCAAAGGAAGCAAGTCAAAGTCATTTTAGATGTAATTATCTGCACCTTACGGTAATAAGCAAATAACATGAGAAATATTCAATACAAGAGATAAGAATTACTGTAATTATGAATACGCAATTTGCAGAAAACTTACAGTAGAGGTAAAGGAAAAACAAAGCACTGCAGGGTTTGAACCACAACCTTTTGAATAACAGTCCAGACATTTTCAAGTTTAAATATAGTAAATATAATTTAATTTTAATTTTCAATTTAATAATTTGGAAGGTCATAAAAATGCTTCAAAGGTTTTTACATTTTTTTTTATGTTTTATTTATTTATGCATTTATTTTATTAATATTAATTTATTAATGTGATGTATTTATTTTTTAATTGAAAAAAAATAAAATAAAAACTATATATATATATATACACACACTATAAACAGAAAATTCTAAATCTAAATTTCTAAATCTAATTTCAAACTACTGTTTTCTCTGTGAATATATTGAATTGATATAGAAATCATACTAATTTGCTTCTCAAGAAACATTTCTGATTATCATCAATGTTGAAAACAGTTGTGCTTCTGAATATTTTTGTGGAAACCGTGATACATTTTATTTTTCAGGATTCTTTTATGAATAGAAATTTCAAACGAGCAACGTTTAAATGAAATGGAAATCTTTTGTAACATTATAAATGTCTTTACTGCCACTTTTCATCACTTTTTAAAAAAAAATAAATTATTTAAAAAAAAAGATCTGAAATTGAATGAACAAATGTCAACAAAAAAATAAGAGTCTTTTGCTACGAAAGCAATTCAGAATCATAGTTTGGAAGATACACCCATAACCAAATCTCCTTTAGAGGAACAAAACTGAACGGCTGGAAGGAAGGAAGATACTGTATGTGTAAAAATCTCCATGTTTCACTCTGCCAAACTGCACTTTAAAGCAATCTCCTTTCATCAGAGCTTCTTTTCACATCCTTGAAGACTGGCTTTCAAAAGCTCTGCCACTTCTGGCTTGATTGTGAATCTGATTTGAATGTGAACAGCACAGAGACGCGTTATGGAGCTCAGCGTGAGTTCCAGATTATTACATGCCATCCTCCACAACTTCACACACTTCAGATCTGAATTGTGTCTGGAGCGCTGACACCGAAAGGCAACATGCATAAAAGATTTCCCATCGAGTCTGACGATTAGCCTTCAGGAGCGCGAGAGACGTCGTCACTTGGCGGGACACTGTGTAACGGGACAGACTGATTGTTACTTGTGTTCGAGTGCGAAACGGATTGACTTCAGGGACGTCAGACGCTTTGGCGAACAGGGAATCAGAATATGTGTTGAAATGCATCGCGTTGCTTTTATGCAATGTATTCCACACCAGATGACCTGTATATTAGAACCTATTTAAACTGAATCTATTCACCATGAACCAAGAAATACACATTCATATGGAATTTGGGGCTTATCTAATCAGAAAATAGAGTCTTAACTCTCTCTTTTAATAATCTCTGTCAATTAATAAATAATTACAGTATGACCTTCATCAAGTTATTTTGTGACCAAACCTGTCAAGAACATGTTTCATTCACATTTAACCCCTAAAAAATCAAATGAATACATTTTATTTGGCTAAACAAAGCCTATTTTAGAACCTGTTTTCAGTTCGTTTGCATGCATTGCGCCAATAATCTCATTTATGTCATTCAAAACATTCTTTTTACTGTAACAAAGAAAAGTAATACAATTAAAATAAAAATGACAATTATCTGAATTGTAACATATTTATTTATCATGGTATTATTTGTTGTACATGAATTCATATCAATTTCAAATTTAATTCTACATTTTCATTAATGAAAATCGAATGGAATTCACTCTAGACTATAATAAAAATTACAAATAATAATAATAATAATTACAAAGTGAAACTTCTAGGCTCAATACAACAATGTTGACCAGGAGGAAAATGTTTAATTGTCCTGCAGAATAGAATAGAATAGAATAGAAAATGTATTATCTGAATTGTAAAGTATTTATTTATTATGGTATTATTTCTTGTATCTTAATTCATATTAACTTAAACTGTAATTCTATATTTTCAGTAATGAAAATCACTATTAAGAATAATAACATAACATAAAACATAACATAAATATATAATAATATTAATAATAAAATTTATCTAAAACAATACAACTGCTAAACCCATTACAGTTATGATAATCATGAAGGACATTTTTAATTGTCATAAAATGGAAAAAAAAAAAATATATATATATATATATATATATGAAAAATAATATTATTTTTAATTAATACAAATTAAAAAATATTAAATTAAATGAAAAAAAAAATCTCTTGGTTTTGGGGTGAAACGTCAGATGTTTTCATGCGATTACCTCATTTTGGTGAGGTCAGGGTGGCCTAACATGCACATTTCTGCTCCACTTCTCTGATTTCATTCATTTTTACTGTCTTCTCCTGACAGAGCGGAGACTGCTGGTTAATTATTAGCTTGGACAGATGAAGCTCTAACAGTGTGACCTGGTTACGCTTCCCTCCTGTGATCACAGCATTTCAGCGTCTCTCTTCACATTTACAGCCTGAATTGAATCGACTTTAGCTCGTTCCTCACACTTTTACGCAGCCTATGGCCTCTGAGACACACTTTTTAGAGCATCGTCTAATTCCCCCTAGTTATTTGCAATGAACTGTTTCAATTATTAACCAGCAAAAAAAATATTCATCAGTGATTCAGCAGTGAACGCACATTTTCTTTTCTTTGAACCTTAAATTTCCTACAATAGAGCGTGCACTTACTGAAAAGGATTTGACCTTTTCCTTTAACTCATATTAAGTGCAAACTGAACTTTTTCGTGCTGTGAAACCGAGCACTGAAATACATTATAAAAGCTTCTGGGAAACATTCATTCAATGCAAATATGCTCCTAATAACATCTGACTTCTTCAGAGAAAGACATCAAGTGCTGTTCATTAATGCTCTCCACAAGCATCTGATTCGAGTCATTCGGGTTAATTACATCCTACTGGCCAATCACAAGCAGAACATCTAATGAAGACAGTGATGTGAAGAGCCACGGTTTCTGTGTGCATTCCTCTGGGTGCAGTATAAAGTGATATAGTTACGCTCGTTACCCAAACGACAGCCTTCATTGCAATAAATAGTAATGACAGTTCAGTCCTGACCTAATTGCAGCCTCACAGAGGGAATAAAAGACTGGAAACTGGGTTAATATGAAGCTTTCAGGAGATTTCTGTCATCATATCTCACCCTCATGTCGTTATAAACCTGAACGGCTTTCATAAAAGTGGTCTTTTTAATGCCGTATGATTGCTTCGTGTAAGAAACGGATCTGTAACAGAGCAGCTGAACTGGAGATTCATAAATGAATCATTCAACCCCAGTTTTGTGAACTGAATCAGGTGATTCTGAGATCTGAAAAATAAAATAAAATAAAACAATATATTATCTGAAATGTAAAGTATTT